GTACATCAGATCTTAATCTTTCTACTTGAAGTCTTCTTTTCACCAACAACATTACAAACACAGGCGTCAGGTTCACTGTCCTAGAACAAACATCTACACACCTCCGGTTCTGCGGTTTTGCTCACTGGAAAAACGTGATTTAAGCCTTTATCTTTGTCTCAAAATTACAGGGCTTTTTACAACCTATTTTGTTCTTCTTGTTCAATGCATATCCTTCAATTAGAGGGCTTTGATATTTGCCCACTTTTACTTACGTCCTATTTTAAATTTTTTGTGTCTATTGCTTTAATTTTAATGTTCTTCATTCATTTATCCAATGAGAGTCTGGGTGGGTTTGTTGTATTTGATTCTGTGTACATGAGCCATAGTTCTACGCATCCTGAGATAAGAGCAACCTGAGATCAGAGCAAAGGTTTGTCTTCTATCTGGATGCTAATTTTAAGTTAGTCCATTTAACGTCTTTCAAGTTGCCTTGGATGTCTCTGGTTTGCACAAAAAATTAGTCGTCTCATTCCGTGTCTTTTGCTTTTTGCCACAGATACTAATATCAATCCCAACTAGCTGCTAAAAAGCTGACTTACGATACACTATTTTAAATTATACCTTTTAGCGTAACTCAAATGGCTATCTAACTAACGTTTTCCCAACGAATGTACCCTGAGGTACAGCCTGTTTACATTTACCATCATCAAGAATCGCAAACAGCTCCAAATGTACACTCACTCGCCGAAAGCGTGATGTGTCTGCTGTAAATCAAGTAGGTATTGTTTTATCTTGTGTGGACTATAACTCCTATTCCTAACAACAGTGATCACGTTTCATTCCATTAGGCGGTCTGGTGTTAGCAATTTTTGGAGCTTCTGACCATTGAGACTAAAGTATTGTGACCGGCTGTATCCATAGTTTTTCAGCCTTCATAGAGGTAGCTTTCTGAGCACACGGATTCTCCCTTACTTAGCATTTTATATGAAACATCTGCTCAACCGAAGACAGAAGGCTGTAAGATAGCTTTTTCAATTTATGCGCTTGTCTATGCTGTTGAAGTTTACTTAAGTAGTCTTCATTTAGATCAGTACTGTATTCGGGAACAAAAAATCTGGTATCGTTTGAAGTGTCCGTTGACCTAGTTGGAAGTGCAGAAAACGAGGGGCGTATGGAGCAGTGAAAAGCATAACAGGCGCGTATTTTCGCAGTTGGCTAGTTTTTCATTAGACTGCATGCATATTCTTGCAAGGATAATTTGAAATCTACAGAGAAGTGTAGTTTTTTTTTCTAGAAATAGCAATATTCCATTCCAGAGTGTATGTAAAAGTATGGAGTGAGATTGATGAGAAAATCCTGTAGTTTAATACAGGAAATGCGGAATATAACAGCGCAAAACACAATATGATCACCAAAAAATCAAGAACCTAGTGTTAAATCCCGGACTGTGGATAGGTCATCCATAATCTCTAATTCACTCCAGTGGATTTGAGGCATTACTGAGAAGCAGTACATTAACCTGAACATTGTAGCATGATTTCATTAACTCTCATTTCCCAAGTTGTCCTCTCCATTTGTTGCATGTTATTCTGGTTGTATTTAGTCGCTTGACGTTTACCCATACTGGATTGTTAGCAGAGCGCAAAGTCGGTACAACTACTGAAACTTTTTGTAGCAAGATTTTGGACCTCTTCATGTGTTTTTGGGCTTATTTGGGCTTTGATTATTTGAGTTTTGGGCCAGCCAATCAAATAAATACTGACGCTTGATTCTTGAAAAAATAATGAGAGTGTATTCAGAGTTTGGAGCTGAATGCATTTGAGAGAAACGTTTTACGTCGTTGTCAACTGCACTAGAGTGCATAGCTTTACTTGCATTGGGGGCGCGGTTAGGTCAAAGAACTGCGGGGCAGTAGAATTTGTTCAGTAATGCAAACAACTCCGAACATTTGAAAGATCAAAGAACTAGTGCAGAATCATTGCCTAGACTATTTATCGCATAAGATGAATCTTCCAGAGCAATTGACAAAGACCGAACAGTCACCGTCTACCTTGTATTGTGATACCTTTTGTGCATTGTTATATGTTCCGATGGTTTTTCTTATTTATTCTTCGCTTTTCTCAGCAAAACTTACAACCTCAATCCCATAAAATCACGTACCACATTGTATCACATGTCAGCAAGCCTCAGACATCTCTTAGAGATTATACTGACATATTTGCGCAGAAAGTGCCCTACAACAATTGACTTTACGCACTTTGCTAAGTCAGTTACTGGTACGTGTTTGAGCAAATGGTCCGTAGATAGATTTACGTTAGTTTCACGTTAGTTGTATGTTACCTGTGTCAAACTTTTTGTTTTTTGCCAAATGTGCATTATTTGAAAACGCAAAATAACGTACTAGACAGGAAGAATTCATCACTTGTTATGTTCTAAACTGTGTCATCAGGCTGCGTTTTGCCTTGTCTAAATTTAAAATACCATCACATCCACCACAAATGTTTATACGGCTTATGATGTTGGTGAGTTTAAACGTAATTACAATGGTGTATTTAATTTATCTCATCGGGCTGATTTCAGTCGATGATGCAATCCGACAACAGAAGCTTAGTTAACATTTCGAGAGTAAAAGTATTTGCTGAAACAGTGTGGTTGGTGTTCGACCGCACACGCTTGTGCCACCTTTCTGCTGTCGCCAAAAATTTTACAGTTTTAATTTCTTTCAAATGTACTATTTGTGTCTCTGTTTGAAGGCTAAATCTCAGTAAAGACGGTGTTTGAAAAAACACTGTGGTCATTGTAGCAGCAGACAAAGCTGTATATGTGCAGAAATAGACGTTCCAGCTACCAGAATTAAAAACGACATTATGACACTAGCTCCATTAGAGTTTTGTCATGTACAACATATAGAATATGGAATAGGACTTATGTTTGTCTTTCGACTTGGCTGACTCTATAAATAAATTAGGAGTGTTAGGCAAATGCTATGGTGAAGTGGTGCAACACATATCTGATGAAGCCGCTGTCAAAATCTCGCTTTCAATTCTAGTGCCAAAACCGTCCTTTTCTCTGTATATTTTCAAATGTTCATTCGATTAAAATAGCTGCAGTCCATTGCCAAACACCAAGTTTCTTTTAATGAGACCCTTAAATGGAGAAATCAAATAATTGAAATTGATGGCTGACGAATACATGACAAATAAATGGATTAAGTTACTGTACAACCTTACAGGCTTACCAAAGAAGCACGGTTAACACAGGTTTTTCTGTAATAATAAAATGTTGAATGATGCATTTGTCAGCTATTATCAGTGAACAACCTCAGATTGTTTGAAATACATCGTTTTCGATACTTTAAAATCGTGTGGTCTTTTCTGGTAGTGCCAAAAATAAAACTGCTTTATTCATTACCGGCATAAGCAGGCTACATTTCCAAGGTTCAATTTTGCGCTGTACTGTTTGTCTCTGCTGTGAACATCATGTAAATCCGAATATTCTCTGGCCGGAGATAAGAGTTTAGCTCAAAAAATAAGGTGGAGTTGATTTTTATTGTGTGAACGATATCAAACCGTACTTTTTGCATCTAGCAAAGGGTAAAGAGAAAAATGTTTTGGGAGCGAGGGCAAGACATGTATCTTGCAGTTCAACAGCTGAGACAAAGGAACTATTGTTAGTCTTCCGTATTGCGTTCTAATTTACTCGCTGTTTGCCGAAAATGTTTTCTACCATTTTTGTTCCATTATGGGTCTTTTTTAGTAACAGCATACATAAACTGTTATTTAAAATCCTAGTTAGCTCATGCAATATGTATACGTATTCTTTTCTGTGCATACAGTATCTGCATACGTAGTCAATATAATAGGTGATGTCAGTGAATAAGAACAATCTAAGCCGTAATTTGCTGCACCATCCTCTGTCAAAAATCAGGGAAGTGTGGAGAGAATTGAACTTATTGAATTCATGTAGTTAAGTATTGCATTTATTAAAAGACGTTTGGGGACAATGGTAAGTATACACAAATCTTTGTTGTTTGACGCACAAATTTGTTCGATTTACTGAGCATATATTGCTTGCAGATCGAATATACTTTTGCGATTGGTGAGTTTGCCAGACAAGCCCAAAGTGTGAAAAAATAAAACCCGCTCTCCCTTCAAAAAGTCTACTATCATACCTGATTTTTAAACAGCCTATGCCCCAAAAATGGCCGGTTTAGCCGATTCCACGTAGTAAAAAACGAAAACTTTTTACAGGCCATGATCTGTGTCAGGCCCGTTTATATCCGTTATCCGAACTAACCTCAGTGCGTTTTCTGCTATTGAGAGTGCAGCTAACCGGGAGAATCTGTAGTTGCAATATTAAAAAGTCACGACACAGCAAACAAATTGATGGCAGTCATTCCCATAAGTTTCACAGAACCCCAAACACAAATACTTTTGATCAAGGTTGAATGGTCCATCAAATCAGAGTTAGATATTTAAAATTTTACTTATCCGTCAAACTGAATCTGAAATACAGCACGGTAAATTTTTATCCGGCCATCCACTTTCCATTAAGGTAAGAAAAATCATATTTGTTTTGAATAAAACTACAGGCCTTGAGACTTAGTGGCCTGTTAGAAACAACCATATGGTGTTTTCTGTAAAAGACTGATGTAAGCACTGCGCCAGAAATCTACAATGGGAATCACCCAGTAGTACCAGTTAGTACGCCTTTGAGCAGAAGAGAAATGTACGAGGAAAAATTCATTCAAATCCAAGACACACAATTTTGGAATAAGAAAAAATGTGTGCGACAGCAGTGGCACCGGAAGGAAAGAAGCAAAAGCGTATAATTACACACAATAGCCAATAATTTGTGTCACAGTATTAATTCATGCTCTGAACGGTTCTAATTTATAACTTTATTGGAAATACCCCAAAGTTGAAGACTACTATTGAAAAGGCAAAACTTTGTTGCAACTACTGATGATAATGAAGAAGAAATAGTGCGTGGTTACTGACTGCTAACATACAATGTCACTACCATTTGATTGCGTTTATTACACTCGACAGTGTACTTGCACTTGCTCGAATCTTCTCGAGTTCCTCTGGATTGAGCTGTTGTGGAATCACGTGGCTAACTCCAACAGATGTTACCAAACACGGAAGACTGAGACACACGTCCTCACTGATCCCATGAATTCCTTGGGCATTCGTGGAAAGCGGGTAAACAGTATGCAAATTGTTTAGAATAGCATTGCACAGTGACTTGCAGGTAAGCCCAATAGCCCACGATGTGTATCCCTTGAGTTTAATTATTTCGTAGGCACTGTTTACCACCTGCTGGTGTACTTCACTAAAGTTTCCTGGATCTTCCGTGGTTCCGATGAGTGGATAAATTGACGAAAGTCTCACTCCAGCGACACTAACAGTACTCCAGACGGGTACACTTGAATCTCCGTGCTCACCGATGATATACCCATGTACGGAATTTGCGGAGACACCCAATCGATCTCCAAGAAGGTATCGAAATCTGGCAGAATCAAGCATGGTTCCAGTTCCAATAACGCGGTGCCGGGGAAATCCGCTTAGTTTCGCAGCAGCATAGGTCAGTACATCCACTGGATTCGATACAACCACGAGAATGCACTCGGGACTGTACTTCACTATCTGTGGAATCATTTTTTTGAAAATATCAATGTTTCTCTGGACCAAGCTCAGTCTCGACTCTCCAACACTTTGACGACAACCAGCCGTAATGATCACAATGTCGGAATTCGCGCTATCTTTGTAGTCAGTGCCCCCGCTAATTTTACAACGCCTCAGAAACTGTTGGCCATGTTGTAGGTCCAGAACCTCTCCCTTTATCTTATCCTCTGCGACATCAATCAGAAACAGCTCCCCAGTTACGTCTAAGAGAGAAAATGCAGTTGCCATTCCAACAGCCCCAACACCGACAACCGTGATTTTCGTCCTTGGTTTACCTTTCAAACATTCTGGCGCGACTGGTTTCAAAATTGCGGCCATAACTAGTTATTAAATATGGTATTTTGGCAACGTGTTCTCCTTACGTTCGGTTGTAACCACAAGTATCTTTTTAGTGGACCGGCGAATATTCGTAACTGATTGTATTACCACATTTATCCGGCCGCTGTAAAAATTAGTGTTGGTGCAAATAAACCATTCAGTGCGATCACACATTAGTGGATGACAAATAGCCCTTAAATGCTATGTAAACGCCCGCAGGCAAACATGAGGTACTCGCTACACTGCGCACTGATGATGTCTCCTCGAATGGTGAAGAAACGTTTGCAATTCAATTGTCAAGCTAGGCAAACAGAAAAGAAGCTATTTGATCAACAGCGAATAAACTGAACCGAGCTACAAATATTTCAACATTTTGCGTTCTGTGCTCAAACCAGCCTGTTGATGGGAGACTCGCCTGCCAACAGGACTCTATCACACAACAACTCTACTTCCTTCGTGAACGCCTGCGGAAACGCATCCTCCAACGTAGCGTAACATATGGACCCCCGAAAAACCATCCACAAGCCCAGAAAACGGCACCGATGGCCAGACTCATGATTGCAGACGCTCAAAACCGCGTCGTAAAATGCGAGCGAATAGACAACGAGTACAGAGAGGCCTGCTTGAGACAATAAAGCAACTCATCACGGTGATAGAATAAAGAGTTACATCCATTTTTAGAGACAAGCTTAGGTGGGAAGCAAATTCTCCAGGCTGACTGGGACCAATGAGTGCGAAAGCAGTCACAACAAAGCCTGTTCAGAAGGCAACTCTTAGAAGCCGAAGAAAAAGTTCTCATCAAAGGGCTTAACTTCAAATTCAAGGGCGCGACAAACCTAGAGTACTTAGCCACCCTCTAGCAACAATGAAATGTATCGGACTAGAAGAAAACGCTCAACAACAACTTCGACAGACCGTCACTCGGGCCACCACATGCAGCAAGCCATATGACGTCTTTTCCAGCAGAGAAGGAGAACCGATGAACAGTCTGAAGAAGGATGCAAACATGGTGATTCTACCAGCAGTCTTGGGACACCCAACAGTGATCATGGAAAAACCGGAATGCGTGAACAAGGCAGAAGCGCTACTCAACAACACAACCACGTATCACCACTTGAAAAGTGACCAAAGCAAACAACTAGCAAACAAAATCAATAAAGATTCGAAGAAGCTCCAAGATCTCCGTAATATTACAAAGAGGAATATAGGAGAATAGGAGCCTGAAGTTCGGCCATTCCCCACTTCTACGAGCTATCGGAAGTGCGCAAAGAAGCAATACACTTCCGATCAATATAAGCACTCCCGGGAACGGCCGCCTTCAATCTTTCGAAAGAACTATGGAAGAAGTTGAAATATCTCATCGGTGGGTCTCCACACTCAATCAACAATGCGGAACATTCTTTGGAGAAACTGGAGAACATAAACATGGTGGTCCCATTTGGTGGTCCCATTTGATGTGAGCTCGTTATTAATGTTTGTAGATGTCCATTCTGAAATAAGACGGTGGCCGAATAGTTGGATAACGGCGGGACGCCAACTGGATCGCTGTAGAAAGAGGACTCCGGCCAATTTATCGAGTTATGCTCGGTCACATATTTCGAGTTCAACGCCGAATACTGCAAACAACAACGGGAGACACGCATGTGGTCGCCAGTTTCAGGATCTATTACAGAAACTCTTATGCAAAAGCTGGAACAAATTATACTGCCCAATATGAATCCCAATGTATGGATCCTCTACGTGGACAACACTTTTGTGATCATTTAATGGAACGACCTGCACCGAGCAAACCAAATGTTAAACGTTTTTGATGATATCACATTCACATTCGAAGAAGAGAACAATGAAAAACCGGTATTTCTAGACGTGCTTAGCACTAGATTACGAAACTTCAGCTGCAAACTGACGTCTACGGAAAGGCGACGCACATGGACCAAATTTTGGGCTACCACAGCGATCACCCAAATAGTCACAAACAAAGCTGCATTCAGATATTTCCCGGATAATCAAAACACATTGCAGTATAACAGAATTCACGAATAAATAAGAAAAACGCCTGTACAAATTGTTCCAGAAATTTGGATACCCAGGGACCTTCATTTTGAAATCACTCAAAAGGCCAAACGTGACTAAAACGACGCCGCGAAATGGAAGGAAACAAGTCACTCCCGTACATCAGAAACATCGTTGGAATGACCATGAGGCTCCTACAGCAGCACTACATGACGGTGGTTTACAAACCCGTGAAAACCTAGGAGAGGACACAAGCAACCCAAAAAGGAATACTTTAACATGGGATCCCCTGCAAGGACTGCGACAAACGATGTATAAGACAAACTGGAAAGATGCTTTCCACCAGAATACATAAACATAGGCTCACTACAGATAGACACTATCAATTTCCTTTAATTTGCAATAATAAGGATTAGTAAGGACGTGAATTTGAATGCAGCGGCGGTCGTATGTTAGCTCAGGCGAGAACGAGGAACGCAAATTTAAGGAAGCGTGGTACTCCACCAAAGAAGCCATCATCAACATATTAACATTTACTCTATTTATCAACAGCTGAGGGCAGCAGAACACAAGAACTACGCAGCCCTGAACCGAGCAAGCAAACAGTCGATAGCGTTGATAAAATGGGGCAGTGCAGCCAGCCAAACACTCCCGAAAAACAATAAATAGACAGCAACGCAATAAAGCTCGCGTAGGAAACCAGCAAAAATAGAAGGCTTTGTAATGACCAATCGACCTGAAAGAATATAAACCACAACACAACAAAGATCGCGAACGGACCAATAAATTCACGCTAGTTGCTGTTGACCAACCAATCAATCACGTTAGGAGATAACAGACATCATTTAAATGTTATATAAACCCACGCAGGTTAACGAAATGTACCCAACTAACTGCGCACCGATGAGTTTGACGAAATGTTTGCAAGTCAGTTTCCGAGCTGGGCGAAAAAGTCTCAACCACGGAAAGCTGCAAAACTAAAATTTCAAGGTCAGGTTTTGTCGAATTTTTTTGGATTTTAGCAAGTCTATGGGCCTTCAACCATTTTAATACAGAGTAACGTTTTCACGGTGGTCTCCAAATTAGCCGCGCACCTAATGAGCAACAGGTCGCAATTCTTCATTTGGCCCAGTCTGCTATCCCCCGGGTCGTCGAGCCGCTTTGGTCCTGATCTATATAATCGCTCCTAGCGGCTGGACGCAACTCCCCCACGCTTGCAAAGTTCCATCTAAATTACCATCTCACACAGTTTGCTAAGTGTCCTTGGGCTGGCCATCCCTGGTAACTCAACATCAAACCATTTTTACAAATGTGTCACGTGCAGGACACGGACCAACAAAAGCATCCCCCGATTGGTCAGAATGCCAGCCAATCAGCATTGAGCATCTTTGTCTCAACGCTTCTCACCCGCTCATTGGGATCCTAGCACGATCTTGTGGGGCACCCTGTGGTTACCCTATAAATACAGTTGTTATAATTTTCCTTTATCTCTATAAATGGCTGTGTAGACTTATCTCTATAAATGGCTGTGTTGAGCCACCGTATCTTTTGATATACCATAGCGGGTGGAGCAGGAAGCCAAAGTTGCCAAGCCAAGTACAAAGTTGCACTACCGTTCAGCAAGACAACTACGGGCGACAACCCGGACCCATGATGCCGATTTCGGCAGCGTAACTCTGAATAATTTCACAGCAACAAGAGAAGCACTTCGAAGAATCTCAGATGATGCTTGTTGATGCGCCATGTCAATGAACGTGACGAAAACTGTTGAGACTCTATCTTATTCCGAAGATGCTGCTGCCAGCACAATTACTGAGTTCAATTGCGATGCTGAATTTGGACGAACTTTCGAAAGTTGGTTCAAGAAATATGAAGACATGTTTCAAATCGACTTCGCTCGCTTTTATGACAGATGTTACGTTCGACTGTTGCTGCGGAAACCGGGAACAGCTGAATATGATCGGTTCACCAATTTCATACTCCCAAAACTACCTCGTGACCTCGGTTCCGCAGATGCCGTCAAAATCCTGGCCCAGATGGTCGATGAGCAAAGCTCCTTGTTCAGCATTCTTTATCATTGTCTCAAGACTACCAAAAACGATACTGAAGATTTTGTCACCTACGCCGGTTTGGTCAAGAGACCTCGAGCGCTTTCAGATCATCACCATGACCTGGTGATCAGTTCGAGTGCCTCATTTAGTTGCTGGTCTTCAATCGCCACACGATGCAGATATTCGGATCCAGCTACTGAACCAAATTGAACAGGATCCGGAGTTGATGCTTCACAAACTTATCACGGAATGCCAGCAACTTAGTGAGTTTAAGGCTAGCTACTGAACCGAACTGAACAGGATCCGGAGTTGATGCTTCACAAACTTATCACGGAATGCCAGCAACTTAGTGAGTTTAAGGCTGACGCTGCAATGAGTGGACATTCCAGATTCTCTCAACCGGATATAGTATGCAAAGCAACTTCCAATAGGTAAACAAATTCTAAACACACTCCAAGAAAACCGCCCAAATCCTGTTGGTTTCGTAAAGGATGCCAACATTCACTCCACTGTCCCTACCAGAACCACAGGTGCAATCGAACGGTCGCAAAGAAAAATGTTGCAGAGACAAATTCAGGAGCTCTCGCAAGCACCGACCCGACAAAATGAAGCAAGCAGAGGCCATGTCCGCCACACCCGGTCTACGTTAATTCATCATATAATGAAAGAATGGCACACCGGTTACCCTCTAATTTCAAAACGAACCTGGGATGTCATTGGAAGGCCAGCAGTGGAATCCACAAAATGCATCGTTTGTAATGCATCTGACCGGGAAGCTGAACTGTTCCGCAACGTTCAGAGGATTCAACTCAATGCTACATGCAAACCTCATGAACTATACAGGCTCTGATCTCCTGAACCTTGGTTGGATTCAAAGAAGCGGCTCACAGCCAGAAGACCCAGCTTCCAATCCTCTCACTTTTCCAGGTCCGCAAA